AAAGTCTCCAAGACCCTCTGACTTCTCCAAATCATGAAGTTGCCTCACTTTCTTGCACTGGCCAGCGTGAAGCTGGGAAACGTTTGCTGACTATGATTCTATGTCAGCAGGTGTATGTGTGTATGTGTCGGGGTGGTCTCTAGAGCATTCCTCAGGGATCTGTCCTAGAGTCCTTCCTCTTTGCACTCATAGCTCTCTCTTGGCTGAGTACATGGGTGAGGTCTGAGAACATTTTCAGACAATGCAGGATTTTCCACAGGCTGGAGCTATGGGACCAAACTAACCTGATGGAATTACATGCAGAAAATATAGAGACCTGAACTCAGGTTCCAACCATCAGCTGTCCAGGGGCAAGTTAGGGAAGACCTGGCTTAACAACAGTTCCTGAGAAGAATACCCAGGAGTTTGTTAACTGCAAGTTTAAGATAAATTAAATCAACAAGGTGGTGTTATCTTATGCTAAGGTTACCTTATACTAGGTGAACAGAAACCTGTAAGTAGGTAACTGGGCACCAGTCCAGTTTGGATCACCAGTTTGTTGAGGGGTCTGGAAAACCCCACCCTGTGAGGAAGTTTTCAAGTACTGGAGGTATAGAGTCTTGGGAAGGGAAGACCTGAATCCATGAGTGCTGCCTTCAGGGATCGGAAAAAGCCCTCATAGGCAAGAGGGCAGAGAATGGACTTTTGTGTGAACTTCCAGAGGATAGACTGGGAACAATGGATACAAATTGGGTGTTGGTGGATATTCCAGTCAAAGGAGAGAACTTTCTAATAGGTAGATCTTTCCAACAAAGGGATTGGGACTGTGGGAGGAAGGGGAATGTTTGAGCCAAGGTGTGTGGGATCTCTGCCCTCAAATGCCCTTTGCTCATAGCCTACCAGATGCTGGTTCTGTCTGCACACCGCGTCCAGAGCTAAGCTGGTTCTTGGTATGATCTTCACCTAGCTCCGCATCCAGAAGCTGATGGCTTCTCTAGCCAGTCCTGCAGCCCGTGAATGTTCCAGCCTGATCTTTCTTCTCAGCCCTGACGAGTGAGGCAAGGCTACCTACTGAGAGCATGGCTCACTCAGGCCAAATCCTAGGCTCTGAGGGCCTGAGTCATGCTGGCTGTAGGAGGCGTCTGCACACAGATGCAGGCTATGACTCTGGCAATGGGAGCTCACACAGGTTCCATCCCCTTTTATGTCCCTGTCTGTATAGTCCCAGCCAAGGGTGAGGAGCTGGAAGTGGAGCAGGCCAGAGCGTCTTTCCTTCCAGCTTTCAGTGGCTTGAGAGATGTGAGGGACAGGAGGAATGAGACCAGGCTAAGGGGAAGGATATAGATCTGTAACCCTTACTCTAATCTCCCCTCAGAGGGCCTATGCTCCCTAAAGACCATTTGAAACTCTTCCTTGTCATGTATCACCTCTCCCCCACCCCCACCCTTGAGGAGTAAACTTTCTAGACTCCCCTTCCATCTCTACTCTGGAGGTTTGGACCAACAGGAACATGGTAGTGCGCTGGATGTGCCTTAAAGCTACCCCCAACTGTGCACTGAGTCTTTAGGTTTAAGGGGCTCCCTACCTGACACCCTAAAATCTATTTACACTTAGGGGATAGAATTGTACAGTCCTAGGGACAGTTAGACATACCTCCTAGGTGTACACAGCAACTACTTGAAGCCAATTTCTTGGGGGTAATACTAGTTTCAATATTATGTCTCATCATCATTCCTGAAAGAATACTCATTCTTGTGTCTTGATTCTCTGATCCAAATCCATGGTCACTTTTCTGTTATTGTGCCAGAGCAGTGCGATCAGCCACAGTCTGCATCCTCAAAGAAGGTGAGAGTTCCAATGGAGACTCTAAAGCCTTTGTGGCTGAGCTCAGATTCTCCTCAACACTGACCTCCTCCCCAGGCTGGTCCTGAATCTCTCCCTCTTCTCTGACTCCTCCAACCTCCCCCAGTTAGGGCTTTCTCTACTGGGGTTCCTCTGGGACTTTTGACCGAGTGGTGGTGGTGATCCTCCCATCCCCCAAGGTAAAGCCCAGAGCCAGCCTAAACCAGTTTTGGTTCCTCTTCTTCACACCTCTTTGATGAAATGAGATGATGCATGTGAACAGCCATTGCAGCCTGTGATGCTCTGGACACACTTAAGTCATGGTTTGTGGTGATCATCACTGGGGAAAGGTCAGGGGAAACATGTGACCTGAGGCTTAGATCATCCAGCCAAGCCTTTGTCTGGCTATATAGCAGCATCCCCTCCTGGTTGCTGTGCAGGGTAGGGCTGGATTATGACTGGCTACTGCAGAGTCGGTCTGACTCGAGGACACATAACAACAACAGCAACACTGCAGGCCAGATTCTGTTGGGAAGAGGGTCCGTACTCTCAGCTCAAGGCTCCTATAGAGAGGGGCTTCCTAGGTCTGCCTACATCTACCCTCCCAGCAGGAGGGGTCCCTGACATACCCACCCCAGGGGCATGGCTCTTCTTTCTAGTATAAGACTTTTTTGTGTTTGGATCCTGTATATGGGATTTAGCAGCCCACCTTAAGAAAATGGACAGTTTAAGCAACTAGAACTGATCTTAGATTTTAAGAGAAGGAAGAGATGACATGATGACCAACTCTTGACTTAAGGCTAAGAGCTCCCAGTTCTTAACCCAACGTAGGAGTATAGAATCCAGTGCTCTAGGAAAATGAACCTGTGCTTGTTTTGGACAAGGATAGAAAGGGGAACAGGAAGCAAAAGGAATGGAAGAAGCTAGAATACCTTCAGAGAGAAAAAGCTTGTGAAGGCCTTGAAGATATGACAAGTCAATAAACATTGAGAAGCTGCTATGTGCAAAGCTCTTCTCCCACTCTGCCATTCATGAGCCAGACCATTTCAGGGCCTCCATGCTGTGAGACACTGTGGGGGAGCCTGACATAACTGCTCAAGGCCCTGCTGTGAGTGAGGTGGGTGGAGATAAAGGATCCAGGGGTCAACAGTCCTGGAGAGATTGTATGTAGGAGAGACATAAAGTGAATGCAGGAAAAGTCATTGGGAGTTGGTTGAAGCACAGATGGCCTTGGGTTTCTGGCTAGACCCTGATTGAGGGGTCCAGGCATGCTTGGATGCCTGGCTAAGGACCACCTATTTGAGGTGTGACATGAAACAAGTCCCCAGTTCTCTTCTTTTGGCCATAGATTTTCTTTGTGATATGGGCTGTCCCCTACTTGCTATCTCCCAAGCCCCTGCCACCACTGGTCTCCAGTAGGTCACGCAGTGGAGTGAGATGTGTGCTCCACCCTGAGGTTTCTCAGAAGCCAGGACTCAAGCTGGTTACTGTGATATCCAACTGGGTCAGGGCTCGTGGTCAGCTTGAAGCTGCAGGCACGGCACAGGAAGACCCCAGTAACCCAAAAGAGGGAGACCAGGGGCCAAGACCAGGTTGGGGGCATGCCACTTTGTTGGGGCAGTGGGGTTTCAGTCTGATTTGGGGTATTGCCCAGACTCCGTAATTAGATTCAGGGCTGGCTTCACAGGTGTGGGGCCTATGCAGTCACATGGGGCCCTGAGCTTAGAAGTGCTCCGTGGGGTTTAGTTCTTTGCTACCGCAATCGTGAAATTCTTAATAATTCTTGAACAAAGGACACTGAGATTTTCAGTTTGCTTTGGGTCTCTCAGAGTATGTAGCCAGTACTGATCACACTCATAGTCCTGGCTTTGCTTTAACTAAGGGTTGAATCTGAGAGGCCAAGCTGGGGAGTAATTAGTCCTTCTCACTTCCTCTCCATGTTCTACTTATACTTCCATGCCTTGGGACCTGCGCAAGTGAGAGGGAGGTTTTCCCAAGCAAGTCTGGAAACACGGTTGGTGGAGTTACCATATTAGACATATTAGACTCTAGCAGGGGAGCTAGCGGGATCAGAGAATATCTCAGGGTGAGTTTAGGATCAGGAGGGCTGTTAGATACAAGAGAGAGGACAGTAGGTCCTTCATGATCTAGCCCAGTATACAGCTCAGATAGATGTCCTCTTCCCAGAAGTGCTCTTGGCCACAGAGGAAAAGGAGAAAGAACTGTGAAGAAGTTTCCAAGAAACCCTTACTACTTCTCTGCTGTCCACACCCAAGGAACCCTGGTTTAGCTGTACCCCACACATGTTCTTTGGGAGCCCAATGACAACCAAGCCAACTTAACTGCTATGCTTTACTGGAGAAACTTGGGTGGGTGTTAGAGAGTGGTGCTGGGGACCATCTTCTTAGCCTACCTGAGCAAACTCCACCAAGAAGGCCTTATCTCTAGAGATTCCAGCCCTTTGAGGGAGGCCACAACATGCTGTAGGACATTTTTTGGATTAACAGAGAGCCAGAGGTTTTTTCACCAACCTGGCACCCTCCCTCCCGACTTAGAGCCGTCTGGAGTCTTTCTCCTTTTGCTGGCTACTTGACCTCACGATTCCTCAGTTTAGCACAGAACCATTGTCTAAAAGTTCCAGCAAGTGATAGTTTTCTCTTCTTGGCTATGAGCTATTGGAAGGCAAGTTCTCAACTTCTCCATCCAACACAGAATGTACTGTCCTGATAATGTAATTATAAAGGAAGAGATGAATAACTGTGTTGACTGATCTATTACTAATGCTAGCTTCCGGACATTAAGAAAACCTCCAAAGCACTTTCCTGTCTAGTTCCTTACTCCAGCACTAAGAGAGAAGGAGAGAATCCCCTACTGAAGAATGGAGAGGTAAAGTGACTTCTTTCAGGTCACACAGCAAATCACTGGAGGATGCAGGACCTGAAAACCCTTATCTTCCAACCCCATCTAAAGAATACCTATTAGGAGCAACAGCTCTACCTATCTACTTCCTCCACAGAATGGAAAACAAGATCCTAAAAGACAGGTGCCAATGTGCCCGTTTAGACTTTGCAGATCCACAAGGGATGGGGATCCCCAGGCTGTCCCCTCTCCCTTGGGTACAGGGTATTTAGAATTCCAAGCAGGGCCTGGGTGACCAGGAACTGCCTGTCCCTACTCACCATGTCTTCCATGTAGTTCATGAGGTCTAAGTCCAGGGTAAAGGGGTAGTTCATGGCTGCGGCTGTGCGTCACCAGACTGGTCACTATCTGATGTTGAGAGGCTCTCCGCCTGGTGCCTATAGAGAGGTAGCAGCCGCCAGCTGCATACTTAAACAAATAAGCAGCACCTTGTCTCCTGGGGCGGTGTAAGGCCTCTGTCTACCTCACAACTCATCACTTTTTTTTTTCCACTGGGTCTTTTCTTTCTTTTTTTTTTTTTTAAGAAAAAGGGAAAATCCCCACAGTATCAGTGCTAGTCAAGCATTTCAGCTACTTTCCTGGCAATAGTGTCTCAATTAGGGCTTGTGATTAGTTTAAAGACTGCCCCTCACTTCTCTGCCCTGTCCCCCCACAAGCCTCTCATTAAGGACACACACCTTGTAACAGAATACCACCACACAAGTCGGCAGGGTCGTGAAACTCCAGGTGGGAAGGGAACAGGGAAAGAGCCCTTCCAGAAATGTGGCCTCCAAGCCATCTCCAGACCTACATCTCTCTTGCCACTAGGTGATCAACCATCCCCGTTTGCCAGAGTCTGTCCAGGTTTTAAAACTGAAAGTCCTTTGTCTTGGGAAACCCCTTAGCCCCAGTTAAACCAGGACAATTGGCCAATCTGCTTGCCACCATCCTTTTGCCCATGCAGAGGCAAAATCCCTTCTCTTTCCAGTTTAAGGTCAGAAGAGACAGGTTGGATTTCACAAAGGGAATGACAGTAAAACATTACTAGAAGACAAAGATGGTATTACCCAAGGGAAGCACAAAAACAGTTACAGAATCACTTTCTGACTCATTTTTTGTTAATTTAAATGATGTCCTAGCTACAAATTAACTTGGTTGGTACTTAGATCGGACTACCCAGCTAGAGGAGACGTCAGAGACGATCAAATCCAACCCTTGATTTGTATGCAGGGGAACTCTAAGTCCAGAGAGGGAGAGAAACTTACCTAGGATTCCACAGCTGACCAGTGGCAGAGCTGAGACTTGAACTCTGGTTTCCTGACTCATGTTCAGTGTTTTCTCTACTGCACCAGGCCACCACTCCCACAGAGTCACATATCTCCTTTCCTTTTCTTCAACTTTGCCCTGTCTGAGGTTTCTTTCCTTTAAGAATCTCCCTTTCAGACATTAACCAAATTTTCTCCTAAGCGTCTTTGTTCTTGTTCTTCCAGAGCCCTGTTTGGAACCTAGGTGGCCATTGGTAGCCAGTGCCATGAAAAGGATAGCATATTCCTGTTCTTGGGCCATAATGATGTAAAGACAATGACTGCACACACACAGGGACACCCACACAAGGCGTGCTGTTTTTTTACCCACCCCCCTTACCCCTTTGTCTTCCAGTTATCACCCTCACCTTCTAGACAAATGCCATTCTCTAGGCACTATGCCATTTCCTCCCCACACACATCTTGTTTATAACCCTCCATGAGAGGTGCATAGAAGCTCTGGTGGTGTAGCTGATAAGGCATTTTGGCTGCTAACCAGAAGGTCAGCAGTTCAAACCCACCAGCTGCTCTGCAGAAGGAAGATAGGGCGATCTACTTCCGTAAAGATTTATTGCCTTGGAAACCCATAGGGGTCGCTATGGGTTGGAATCAGCTCGATGGCAGTCAGCTTGGTTTGGTTTATGATAGATGCATTATTCTGAGTGTTCAACATCTTGAGGAATAAAGGCTTTCAGACTCTATTTGTTCTATCTGGGTCTCTTTTTCTCTCAGTTCATTCATTGCTTTAATGTGCTGGATTAAATTGTGTCCTCCAAAAAATGTGTGTTGTAAATCCTAATCCCTATAGATGTGGATATAAATCCTATCCAGGAATAGGGTTTTCTTGGTTACGTCAATGACAGTGTGTCTTAAGCCAGTCACTTCTGAGATGGAAAAGGAGAAGTTTAGGCACGGAAGCAAGGCAGTACAAATGGAGAAAAACTGATGCCATGTGGGATCACTGAGGAACCAAGGAAGAGAAGCTGACAGAGATAAGGATTTTCCCCAAAATGGACGGAGAAAGCCTTCTCCTAGGCTGACACCCTGAATTCAGATCTCCAGCCTCCTAAACTGTGAGAAAAAGACATTTCTGTTTTCTAAAGCCACCCACTTGTGGTATTTCTGTTATACCAGTGCTAGATAACTAAGACACCGTCAGAAACTGCATTCAAGGAGGAAGGATCCCAGGACAAGGTATTGGAGTTCCTCTCCAGCATACCAGTCCCGACACCCTCTGGGAAGAGACTGCTCCAATGTTTCCTGTAACCCAACCTTGCTGTGTACTGCCCACTCTCCCAACTTCCTCCCAATACCCTTTCCCACTGCTGCCATCAATTCATTGGCATATTCAACCTAGCTTTTGCTACCTAAAGACACTGATCAGAAAGGAATATAGAATCATGTAGGAATTGGAAGGCACTTGGGAAGGCAAGCTAATTAATCCTTATTATATCCCTTCCATCACCCCAACAAATGCAAGATTCTTGTCACTGTATCCTCATTAGATGGTCACCAAGTATTGGACAAGTGTCACCAGGGGTGAAAACCTTGCTCCTTTCAAAGGTCCTTGTTTCACTGTAGGATGGCTTAATTATTAGAAACTTATTCCTCATGTTTCTTGGATTATTTGCTTAGCACACAAATTGAATAAGTATGGTGAAAGGATACAACCCTGACACACTCCTACCCTGATTGTAAACCATTCAATATCCCCTTGTTCTGTTTGAATGACAGCCTCCTGATCTATGTACAGGTTCCTCATGAGTACAATCAAGTGTTCTAGAATTTCCATTCTTTTCAATGTTATCCATAATTTGTTATGATCCACACAATCGAATGTTTTTGCACAGTCAATAAAACATAAGCAAACATCTTTCTGGTATTCTTTGCTTTCAGCTAAGATCCATCTGACATCAGCAATGACCTCGTTCCATGTCCTCTTTTGAATCCAGCTTGCATTTCTGGAAGCTCTCTGTCAATATAGTGCTGCAACCGTTTTTGAATTATCTTCAGTAAGATTTTACTTGCATGTGATATTAATAACATTGTTTGATAATTTCCACATTCTGTGGGATCACCTTTCTTTGGAATGGGTACAAATATGGATCTCTTCCAGTCAGTTGGCCAGGTAGCTGTCTTCCAAATCTCTTGGCATAGCTAAGTGAGTGCCTCCAGTAGGGCATCCATTTGTTGAAACATCTCAATAACTCACTGCTGTCAAGTCGAATCCGAATCATAGTGACCCCTCCTTGGGTTTCCGAGGTGTTATCACTATGGCAGTAGATTGTCCAACCTTCCTTTTGAGGAGTGGCTGGTGGGTTTGAACCACCAACCTTCAGGTTAGCAGTCAAATGCTTTAGGCACTACACCATCAGAGCTCCATCTCAATGAGTATTCTGTCAATTCCTGGAGCCTTGTTCTTTGCCAATTCTTTCAGTGCAGCCTCTTTCAGTACAGTTCGTTCTTGATCATATGCCATCTCCTGAAATGGATGAACATCGACCAGTTCTTTTTGGTACAGTGACTCGGTGTATTCGTTCCATCTTCTTTTGATGTTTCCTGCATCATTCAATATTTTACCCATAGAATCTTTCAGTATTGCAACTCGAGGCTTAAATTTTTTCTTCAGCTCTTTCAGCTTGAGAAAAGCCGAGTGTGTTCTTTCCTTTTGGTTTTCTAACTCCAGGTCTTTGCACATTTCATTATAATAATTGGCTTTGTCTTCTTGAGCTGCTCTTTGAAGTCGTTGGTCAGCTCTTTTATCTTCTCGTTTCTTCCATTTGCAGACAATACAACTTTGTTTGCTGAAAGTGAGGATGACTTGAAGCATGTACTGATGAAGGTTAAAGACTGCAGTATGGATTGCACCTCAATATAAAGAAAACAAAAAACCCTCACAACTGGTCCAATAAACAGCTTCACGACAGATGGAGAAAAGATTGAAGTTGTCAAGGATTTCACATTACTTGGTTCTACAATCAACATCAATGGGAACAGGAGTCAAGATATCAGATGATGTATTGCATTGGGCAAATCTGCTGCAAAAGACCTCTCTCAAGTGATGAAGAGCAAAGATGTTTCCTTGAAGACTAAGGTGCACCTAACCCAAGCCATGGTATTTTCAATCACTTCTTATGTATGTGAGAGCTGGACAATGAATAAGGAAGACTGAAGAAGAGTTGATGCTTTTGAATTGTGTTGGAGAAGAATGCTAAGAGTACCATGGACTGCTAAAAGGACTAACAGATCTGTCTTGGAAGAAGTGCAGCCAGACTGCTCCTTGTAAGTGAGAATGGCCAGATTTTGTCTCACCTACTTTGGTCATGTTGTCAGAAGAAACCATTTCCTGGAGAAGGATATCATGCTTGGCAAAGTGGAAGGTCAATGAAGAAGGCGAAGGCCCTCAATGAGATGGATTGACACAGTGGCTGCAACGATGGGCTCAGGTATAGCAGGGACCATGAGGCTGGCACAGGACTGAGCAATGTTTCGTTCTGCTGTGCATAAGGTCACTCTGAGTTGGAGACAACTTGATGGCAGCTAACAACAACAACATTCCTCATACTGAGTCAAACTATGTCTCCCTGTAACTTGTCCCCAGAGGTCCTGCCTTCTGTCCAGCCTCCTCCTATAAGCACCCACTGAATGGAGATATTTCACTATTGTAAGTCTTCTCTTCTCTAAAACACACATCCCCAGTGTGATAGTCCAGGTTGTGTGTCAACTTGGATGGACCATGATTCTTAGTGGTTTAAGCAGCTGTGGTGTGGTCATTCTCATGATGAGATCTGATGTAAGGTGAGATAGCTCTCCATGGTGTGATGTGCTTTGAGTAGCATATCAGTTGAAAGGGAGTTTCCTGAGGGGTGTAGCTGGCTCTCAATATACATATGGACATGCTGGGAAAATTCTGGAACTTTCTTTTGGATCAGGATCCTGTCATACTGCCTGCCATTCTTGGGTTTATCAGCCCTTGCAGTTGTATGAGTTAGGAAAAGCCTTCAGCTTGACATTTGACCTATGAACTTGGG